TAACACGTCAGTGTGGCCGAGTGGTTAAGGCGTCAGACTCGAAATCTGATACATTCGTGTGCACAGGTTCGAATCCTGTCGCTGACGAAACATTTCCTTTTTGCTTTTGGGTTTCTCATACCACATTGCTGCTTTAGCTTGTGCCATGGTTTTCTGATCCTCGGTGGTACCTTTTTGTGTCCATTGCATTACTCGGGTGTTAATGCTTCTGATAGAATGGGGCTTGTGTCTGAAGTACTAGGCTTCTGTTTAGAAGTAAAAGGTGTGAGTTTCATAGCTTGCCAATGCTTGGTCTATGGGTTCCACATGGATCGAGCAATTTGAAGCGGATTGCCTTTTAATCAGGAAGATGGGATTACTCTGCTACATGTTTTTACAGTAGACAGCGCTGCTGAGGTCTTGTTTGCCGCGTCGCTCTGACTATGAAAGTCTTATGCATATTCCGTACTACCATGGAGGACGGCGGGTGAGACGGGGAGACCTTCCAGATATTGTACGTTTGTGTGCTAGCTACTGAGAATTCGTTCGGGATTGTTCCGGCCAGGTGGTTTTACGGCTGCCTCTCTTGTTGCAACCGTGTTATAGAGCAGGTTCCCAAGACTTGCCCTGTCTCTCGCAGGTCGAAGTTGTGCTGATATATTTCCGGGATGCGTCCCTCAAACCAAACCATGGAAAGACCATGTATTCGCCCGTCACGCTGATAAAACCAATACAGCATCACGAGTACTTGTGCTGTGGACTCTGGACCTAAACCACAAGTTTATATCGTGAAAATATCACATCTCCCACGACAGAGAGAATCCGTAGACATGGTCTGATTGAGGTCCACAAAAAGCATGGACCAAAAAAGATCTGACAACCGTCAGCGGTAGGATTCGAACCTACGCCCACGAATGGAATTGATATCTCCTTAGAAGGATGGGACCTACTAAGGTTCGAGTCAATCGCCTTAACCACTCGGCCACACTGACGTCAGTTGATGTATACCTTTTGGCATCAATATATAATGTCACCAGCAACTATTGCCGAAAGAAGGCATAACCACAAAAGTGACATTTACCATACGCATGCGCGAACCCTACATCTACATGACCAAAGTTTCATCACTTTCTCAGCCGCTATAGTCAATCTTGATCTGTGTCAATATGGCTGAAGCGGATATCTCTTCACTGGCACGACGTGTGCTCCAGATCCTGTAGGTTGCAGAGGGCTCATGTGAACTTGATACGTTACCGTACCGATGGTCCAGGCCAAGAGCTGCCATCCGGGCCCGGCCAGTGCTGATCCCGAAGTTACGTCCTGTAAGAGTGCACAACTTCGGCGCCACACGTCGAGCAATGACCTCACTGCGCGGAGGGATCTCTAAGCAAAACATCATTGCGCTCCTGCATTATCGCGGCCAAGGGTTCACTTAATTTCGTACTGCTACCGTTTTCTCAAAGTCCTACGACACCACGTGTTATTTGCCTTTCGATCGTCATTCATTTTGTGTTTGTGTGCAGCACCTACGCCTCCTACGCAGCCAGAAAGATTTATTCTGTGATACCCACCAGCCGGCGTGCATAGGCCCTGTGCCAAGACTCTCGACTCCATTGCGCGTGCGGAATCTTTACAGGGTCTCTCTACTGCCGAGTCCTAGAAGAGCTACCATCGGCCATTCGTCATACATCAACCAGGGGCGAAATCCCTATTTCGACGAGGACTCTCACCACTCTCGCGTGATGATTTAAGCTTATATGCTCCAACGTCCCTGCCCAGTAACTCGCTCAAACCGAACGCGCAATACGACACGATAAGAAACCTGCGAACCGAAGCACTCCTTGCAAATGGGAGACGAGACGATGGCCACCACGAAGAACGGCTTTGTGGTGGAGGGACCTAGTCGTCCTGTTGTGACGGTCGACAGCAGACCCAGGCAACCGAAAAGGAACACTATTAGGTGGACGATAGGGCTGGTGGTCCGGTGAGTCTCACTCCGTCGATTGGACCTAGTTTGTTGTCGCACATTCGCTGACATGGCGGGATTTCCCGTTTCCCATCGCCAGACTCTGTATATGGTATGCGCTCTTAACGCCATTCTTTCGCTGTCCATCTCAGCTCTCCGACCTGGATGGGACCTCGCCCCGAGTTTGCAAACCGTACCTAATTGCTCGATCGCACCTCGAGCCTCATATAACCCCGTATTATAATGCGTACGGTGCGCCATATGTCGAGATGGCCCGTCCGTACGTGCACGTCGTCAACGAAAAAGTCTATACGCCCACGTCTCGCGTCGTTCGACGCGGCTATGAAACTTATGGTGTACCCGCATTAAACAAGGCTCAATCGTACGGCCAGGATCAATGGGAGGCGCGAGTGGTCCCACATTTGAATGCGGTCAAGGACAAGACGAACACGCTGTACCTGTCGGAAGTCTACCCATATGTGCAGCGTGCCGAGGAACTCGTCTTGCCGCCGTATAGGAAGGCTAGTGGCGCGGTCCGATCTGTTTGCGTCGATTATCTTCTACCCTTTGGTGCCAAGTACCAGCCATATATCGGAAAGACATTCACCTCGGGGCAGGATATCCTTACTACCACGATTCTGCCCAATGCGCAGAACTCCTGGTCTACTACTATTCAGTTTATCAAGGGAACTCTATGGCCTAGGATCGCCAGTCTCTACTGGGAGAATGTAGAACCCCAACTCGTCAAAATTGGCGAGAGACTGGCCAGTTACCGCGAGGGAAAGGGGCCTCGGAATGTCGTGGATGAAGCCAATGCGTGAGTACCCATCCCTGAAGCGCAAGCTCACGGTCATCCACTTACATTCCAGCAGGAGTTTCCCGGATCAGTCGGTTCTTGCTTCTTCGGTCTCAGACACCACATCTCTGAGAACCACACAATACGAGACTGCTACCGCGTCATCCACAACCGCGGTACCTCCGCCGCAACCTACGCTTTCGGCCGAGGAACAGAAAGCCCAAAGACGCGAGAGAGTCGAGAGCGACCTACACGCTTGGCAAGAAAAGTTCGCCGTCGCTTCTAAGAATGGCCTTGAAAGCCTCGAGGAGCTCTTGCAGGAGGTCGTCTCTGATTATCTTTCCAAAGAAAATGTGGCGTATGGCGAAGAATTGGTCACAGGGCTAGAGGCGGTTGTGGAGAACGAGATCATCGCACTCAAGCATCATATAAACACCCTGGCTGAATCTCTGCCCTACGAAGAACTCCCCAAAGCTGAAAAGGCTGCTCAAGAGGAGCTGTTGAGGAACGTCAAAGAAGCCGCAATCTCCATCCGAGGCCGTGCTCACGCCCTCAGGGAATGGCGCAACGCGTTCGAGAATGAGCTCATGCACCGCGTTCATATCGCAGTCAACTCTACCCTCGAGGTTCTCGATAACGTTCGTGATCTCGGGTTTCAAGAGGTGGGCATCCGCTGGGCGTCGATGGATGGTGTTACCTACAAAGACTGGGCCAGATACCACGCCCTCAAAGCAGAAATGGAGGATTGGAAAGATCAATTTATCGCCTTTGGAACTAAACATGCTAAGGTCGAAGAAGCGGTCTTAGCCGCAGAGGAGACATTGTCACGAGGAATGGTTGTGGCTGAGAATGCGGCGAAGGAGCTTGCGAGATTGAGGGAAGTCGGCAGATGGAAGATTTCGGCTCGCGAGGCGAGCGACAACTTTGATACGAGATCCGAATCCCCACCATCACTTCCAGAGCCTGCCATTCCCGAAGATGACACTGCTGATGAGATCAGTCTGGACGAGGTACCCCAGGCAAGCCCCGAGACTTTTGCCAACCACGGTGCTTCCGCGGAGTTCACCGCCGAGCAACTGGATAATCCGGCCGACATCGCCGGCACTAGCAACCTCGATGCATCCGACCAGGCGGCATGGGGCGTGGCTGCAGCAGTTCTCTCTTCCCAGAAAGCCAAGGAAGGTCACCTGGGCTCCGACGAGCAGGAGGCTATCGAGAAACTCATTTCGGGGCTGCTTGTCGGCAAAGATGTTGAGTTCGCCAAAGATATCATGAAACAACTCCGCGCCATCTACAAGACACCGAGACCATCTGAGGCCTCATCCTCGGTATCATCCTCAGCATCGACGTTGGCAGCACCTCCGATATCAATTAGCGTCGTTGACGATGCTTTGACTACGCCAGCAGCCATTCCAGTCGACGAGACTACTACTCCCACTTCTGTGGTGACCGAAGAAACTGCTTCCGAACCGACTGTTGCACATGCCGCACCCGACGTGCCAGACCCAGCGCGTGAACAGCAAGAATCCCCCGAAGCCTCTGAGGACGTAGAAGCAGCTATGGAGAGTGCGGAGTCACAATATGTCAGCCTGACCTCCCGTGCAAGTGTCTTCGAACCCGTCGCAGTTGAGACTGGGGTGGATGCCTCGGATGAACAGACCGAAAGCATGGAAGATGACGTTGAGGCCGAGTTATAAAGACCATGACCCACACGATCTCTACTGTCGCTTGACAGTATTTGGTATTCTGTTTCTTGCTTTTCTCTCTTTTTCTTTCTTGCTTTTCATCTGTGCTTGATATCCTTATGTTTCTATCTTCTCTATTCCTGACCTTCACATCTTGTCGGATCGTGAGCTTGAATATTCCCCACATAGTTCCTACGATTGTACGTCACGACCAATATATCGATTCCTATGGTACAACACCTGGCTAGTTTATTAGGCCGCTTTCCCAAGCCACTTCAAGACCGGCACTTGCACTAGGATAAACCATACCGTTATCGACATCCTTGTCTCACCCACTACCAGCATACTCGAACTGTAGGCCTGTGCATTTCGACGCTCTGATCATATGAGTACGTAAACAACTTTTCATCTATACAATAAAAGCGTACAAGGAAATCCCATCGTAACCCGCTCATTCCAGACACCATGCTCATCCCACATACAGTTTCTAAATACACCACCAATCCACCTCAGCCAAATAGTCCATGAACGAGAGGAAACCGCAACAACCAAACCCCCCCCCCCCCAACACAATCCACAATCTCAGCGATACTGCACCCTCTGCCCACCCCGCTTCTCCAACTTCTTCTGCCTCTTACTCTCCGGAGCCGCACCACCGGCGCTACCATCAGCAGCAGCAGCAGCAGCACCACCACCACCCCCCATCCCCGCCAACCCGCTCCGCATCCCCATGAACGTGGAATAGGCCAACCACACCGAGTACAGCGGGATCACCACCCACAGCCACCAGGCGCGGTCGCCGAACACGCACACGGCCCCGATGCAGCCCCACGTCCAGTACAGCACGTCCCACATGTACTCCGTCAGCCCGGCGGCGCCGAGGTCCTCCCCGGGGGAGCGCAGCGAGCCGTCGGCCGGGTTGTGGCGCGGCCGGCCGAGTCGGTCCAGGTAGAATTCGATGAGGAGGGTCGGCACCGCGAGCAGGATGTAGGGCTTCAGGGAGCGCGGGCGGTTGAATGTCCAGTGCAGGGCTAGGTAGAGGGCGTGGAGGCCGAGGCTGATCAGGTGGGTGCGCTGCAGGAGCGCCGTGTTGCGCGCCGCGAGGGTTTTGGCTGCTTTCTGTTTGGCGGGGGTGGTTGTTAATTTGGGGTTTGGATGTGGTGGGGAGGATATTGGGTAGAAGAAGGAGGAGGGGGTTACCTGAGCCATGTTTGTGGTGGTAGTAGGGGGTAGGTGGTAAGTGGGAGGTGGGAGGTGATCTGGTCTTATCGACTATCGAGTATGTCGGATGATGCGCCTGAGGTCGCGTGGTGGGGAGGCGGCAGGGCAGGCGGTGGATGCGGATGCTTCAATGGATATTCGAGTTTTGAGATTTTTTTTTGTTTTTTTGCTGTTGTGATATGCGATAACAGAGTGGGAGTATAGATTGGATTCACACGTAAGTAAAATTTCAGCAGCAATGCGGCATGATCACCGAGGGGTCACTTCTTGCGAATGGAACTGCAATCGGCGGGAGTTACGGAGTAGGTAGTAGTTCACTGCGAAGACGGAAGAGGGAATGGCAGAATGGCAGAATGGCGTTGCCCACCACAACCGGACAAGCGCCCGCGCCTCTCTCCACCAGCCACGCTCTGAATTGCTTGCTTCCCC